GAGGATATTAGGGGAAGAAAAACGGCACGAGTCCAAACCCCAAACTCCATACATGGAAATCCCCTTTGGAGATAGCACGGGGGACAGAGCCAGAGGCTCCCCGTTTTGCTGCTGCAGTAGTTGTAGCAGCGGGATGCAGGGGCACCGGGAGCAGGGACCCAGGCCTCCCTGACCGGAGCTGGAAATTTGGCCTGGCTGCTCCTCCATCATGCTGGAGGGGAGGCCGGGCCAAATTTGAGTGGTGCTGCAACCTGTGCGCCGACTTGCCCCCCTCGCCTTTGCACCCCCAGCCCCTGGCAAGAAGCAGAGCAGGGCACACCAGGAACCCCAGCCCCGGGGAGGATGGGAGGACTGGATCTGGTTCTTGGAGCTTCCTGGGGAAGTGGGGAGACAGGAGGAGGATGGGGTCTGGGGCTCCCAGAGTGGCTGGCCCCTGGTGGGGATGGTGCCCTTCATCCTCCCTGGATAAGAGCTCAGGGGAGGGAGCGTGTGTGGGGCTGGGCTCCGAGGCAGCATGAGGGAGCTCAGTGCTGGATATGGGGAATAGCAGAGGGGAGCTCAGGGCAGGTGTGGGGGGGTTGAGTTCAGGGGCTAGAGCCCCGGGTTCCCCCCCTCAGGAGAATGCTGGTGGCGCCCCCCGAGGGTTGGGCCAGCATAGCAGGGGATTGGCAGCGCAGATCACCCCCAGCGGCAGACGTAGGTGTACAGGACACGGGCTTGCTATGGGAAGGCCGTGTCTGCTGGTCAGGGCTGGGAGGAGGTGTGATCCCTGAGTGCTAGAGCGCCTGGTGCCGTGCAGACGCAGCGATACCAGCTACGCTATGCTTTTCCGATGGAGCAGGCTAGGCTGGGAAAAGCTTCACCCGAGGAGCGCTAGGTCTGAGCTCGCCTTGTCTACACAGCCTGTGTTTGCAGCAGGCGGCCAGGGCAGGCGCTTGTCGAGAAGCAGCTCCCCGTTGCGGCTGCTGGGTGGTCCATTCGATTCCAGCCCTGCGTGACAGAGACTTTCTGACATTTCTGAGCTCCGGGCTTTCAAGCCCCCCACTCAGGGAGCCCTGGTGGGGTGCAGGAGGGATATGGTTTTATTCACTCGTCAGCGTCACTCAGCCAGGCCTGCGACTGGACTGGGGAGCCCTGGAAGCCAGGGGATCTGCTGGCTCAGGCGGGGCGGGGGGGCCGGGGGGCCGCAGAGCTGGTCTGGTTTCAATGTGCAGCCCTCAGTGCCCCTCTGTCCTTGTTCAACAGGGATGGATCTGCTGTGCTCAGACACGGCCAGTGCCGCTGGTGGTCATCTCCGCGCCCATGGATTCCCCCTGCTGCCAGCATCGTGGTTGTGTCGCTTCTGGCTGCTGTTGGTTTAATGGCTGCGCAGGGGACTCGGCTTCTCCGGCTGCTGAGGAGCCCAGCCCAGGCCTCACTCCAGCCGTTACTCAGTCCCTCGGCCCTGCGGCCTCCGGTGAGTAACCAGCAGGCAGGGCTGGCCTACACGCGGTGAGTCAGTGCCAGGGTCCGACTCCAGGATTCCTGACTCCTCGCTCCAGCCGGCAGAAGAGAACTGAAAAGCAATTCACATTGAAAGCTGAGAGAGAGGTGGGACTAAAATCGGATTCTCCTCAGCCTCCTCTATGAGCAGTCCAGGCATGGGGACTTCTCTGCTGTCACCCCTTTCTCAGTGGTCAGCGCTCAGCCTGTCTCAGGGCCCTCAGTAACTTCCATTCCCAGGCCAGGCCTGGCTCTCTGCTGCTCCTGCTACAAACTGCTGCCACCCCCCTGGCCCCCCTCCCCACCATGCGCTACCCGTTGCTTTCGTTAGAAGTTCATCGGACTCTGAATAGTTCCCAAACAAGAGCAGCCAGCCTGCCTGCCCGCATCACCGTCCGCTTGCTCCGTCTTCCCACGTCCACTGCAAACCCTGGGGAATGGCACGCTGACCTATGGACCTCTGCCCGGCTATCACCGCAACAGGTCAGACACCATGTGCCCATGCAGGGTCGGAGGGTGTTCATGGCTGACACGTGCCCGCACAATGTTCTGACATCGCCCCCAGGTTATTCTCAGCACTGGAGCGCTGCTCCCATCTGTGCATATCCATCCCTAATGGTTTGTGTGTTTAAAACGGCGTCTGTCACGGAGGGAAGCTGCACTCCAAGTGGGCTGAGCCAAGTCTAATGATTTATACATCACACCTACCTCCGCTAGCGACCCGAACAGCCTGAATCAGGAGCCAAGGCAAACCGCGTTCATTTTGTCCACGGCAGCACATTTGTTCTATGTCAGTGGAGTTTTGCCTTGAATGTATTTGTACGTAAATCCAGTGCAGACCGCAGCAGATCCTTCTTCCTTGTCTTGGCCAACAGCTGAGTTTTGCTGTCTGGTTGGGAAGGGGAGTCATTCAGAAATTGGATTGACTTGTACCTGCTCACACTCTGCTCCATTCAGTGGCTAGCTGAACTATGGGGTTTCTGTCCCTCTTCAGTTGACACTTTAACCCCTCACTCCCTGAGCTGTATCGACCTGTCTCCTCTCACATCACTGACTGTCTGGAGTCATATAATGGCCCAGATCCTGAAGTCAGCAGGAGCTGAGAGTACTTGGCACCATGCAGGGTCCCAAGAAGCAGGTTCTGTTCCCAGCTCCACCATGCCAGTCAGCATTCCTTTGGCAAGAATCGAAGGGCCCATGGGGCTGTACTACTTCGGGTCAGGGCTGGGGGCATTGCTGTGGGAGTAAGAAGCAGCTATGACATATATAATGTACAGTGTTAGTACAAACCCACTGTTAGTATCTATGCAGCATCTTGGCGAGTTTCCCTGAACTTAGCGCCTTCCTGCTATGGTGCAAGGAGAGATACAGCAGGATGTTGTTAGCAGTGTTACAGAAATGTGACATGAAACCAGACAAAATCTTCTTCCAGTGTGAACAGTGGGTTTTAAAGAATAGCTTGTAAGGACTGGACACAGCAAGTTACCTGGTTACAACCTGAATAAAGCTCGTTAATTGTATGAACCACTGGGCCGAATCCTAGAATACCCGATTCAGGATTTGTCACATGGAACAGAACCGATGGCCCTCATACCTGGCAATGGCTTATGCCGGATTCTACAGGAAGGTGAAAAACCCAGAGAGCATCTTGGTAGGTTTGTTATGATGAACTACTGTTGTTGTTATTTCCATAGCAAGGTATGGGTAGGAGGCACTTTACAAAGGGATCTAGAACAATACCGAGAATGTAACACCCAGTTCTTACCGATAGTCTCTCTTTCCCTTCGTCGGCATCGCTCGCTTTATCTATTTATTTGTATGACAGTAGCTCTGCGAGCTCCTAGCTGAGCCTGGGCGCTCCCTGCGCCTGGTGATACACATACACATCATGAGAGACAGCTCCGGCATTCAGCAGAGCTTTCAGACTAAATGGACAAAAGGGGGGAGAGGACACAGGTCCAAAGAGGTGAAATGACTTGCCCAAGGTTACCTAGCAGGTCAGTGGCAGAGCCAGGTCTCTTCAGTCCCAGTCCAATGCTCTCTCCTCCTGTCATGCCTAGGGGTCCCTCCCGTCGCTGACAGGACCATGAGGGTTTCCCCGTGGTAACTCTCAGGGCCTCACAGCACATATGCTGCATTTGGTGCTAGCAAGGTGACTGGAAGGGATGGTTTCCTTTGGGCGCCATCCCTCTCCCGTTTGGCTGATGCTCATTCCTCCGCAAGCGGCAAGACAGTGAAAACCCCAGAGCAAGGATGTTTCGTGGTTTTCTTTATTCCATCTGAGCATTTCTCATAGCTGCCTTCACAACTGACCCCACATTCACGCCATCAGTGATTCAGCAAGGTGCATTATGGGGAATATTAGTCATGGGACTTGTCCCAAATGGCCAGGAGAGCCAGGGTCCCCTGTAATCATGCCCATACCTCTCGGATCATGACGACTTACTAGCATCATCTAGTGGGACTGTGCCACTGTTGCTTTAAAGCCAAAGAAATCTTATGGGTTGTAAAGATTTTTCTTCCTACTGCAAGCAGGTGCAATGCTGCTCCCTGGTGCTTATGGGTATAAATGCGGAAAATGCCCTGGAATGAGGGGACATGCAGGCAAGTGTCTGGGGGAGTCAGCTCCGAGGCCTGAAATGTTAATATGAACCATTTCACAGCTGATCATTGGAGCCAAAGCAGCCGGCTGGTATTTGTGGGGGGGGGCGGGTCCTGAATCCTGGAGCCAGGTTGTCTCACAGAACTGTGATCCGCAACTAACCTTTAAGCAAACGTGGTGTAAGGTGCAAGTTAGAAACAAAACCCCAGAGCAAGGATGTTTCGTGGTTTTCTTTATTCCATCTGAGCATTTCTCAAGGCTCCAGTGAGAGAGATTCTTCTGTCTGGCTGCTTCATACAAATCTGTCCAGAAGATATTGTCTTATCCCTCCGCTTTGTTCACAGAAACAGCAAGAATGGGTCTGATTCCATACAGGCTACAGGACTGGTTTTTTAGGCTGGAATTTAACAATTTAAGAATTGGGTTAGAATGAAGAATGAAGTTATTACCACCAGACAGCTAATACGAGCAGTACAGATCTGCTTCTTCTGACTTTACTACGTGAAATTTGGATGATTTTAAAGCCATTGCATTTCTCAAACAACTAATGAAAAATCTCTGCTTTTGCCAGACCCACTCTTGTTTGCTTCAGTTTAAATTCTGAGTGGCTCCATTGAAACCGGTCCCTTGGATGTTCTTCATAATAATTTCACATTAATTTACAAAAAGCAATTACAGGTTGCTATTTAGAAGAGGCGGCTGTCAGGATCTCTGCTTACTGTATTTGTGTTTCTCCCTAGGCATTGCATTCCTTTGCTGCCAGACCTCCCTCCAAAGAGAAGTCTGCATCTGTGTAACAGTGGCTGCAGCCTTCTCCATCCAGCTGAGAGTGAAATTGTGTGTGAAAGAGGAGTCAGGGTACCCTGTCTGGCACACAGCGCAGATTACCAAGACTCCTGCACTTGCTGGCAGCTCAGCTGTGTGCTCAAAGATGCTGCATCTGAAAGTCCAGTTCTTGGATGACTCCCAGAAGATCTTTGTAGTGGATGTAAGTGGCTATCATATTATTGTTTTGTTCTAATTACTGAAGTCATTGCTGCACCAAAGGATTACATAACCCTCAGATGGTCTCTGAGAGCTTCTGGTTTTCAGCTTTGGAAAAAGGAGCATGTAGCGTTGTCCTCCTTGTATGTGTCAGTGCTAACGAGCGCAAGCTGGGCTCTGTCATTTGCATCCCATTTTTAAAAAGTGGGGGAGATGGGTTTTACTCATCTGGTGTCATCAGTTTGAAATCAGCCGGGATGGGGTGTATTTTTGACAAGTGTGACAGTCGTTTGTCTGGATGCCAACATAAGCATCGGCCAGGAAGAAAAGTCTGGGTCCAGGACAAACATAACATATTTAACCAAATTACCCATGGGGGGGAAGATCTGTATGCTTGTCTTCATGGAGACTAGGCTGATGAGAAAAAAGAATGGAATTACACTAAGGAGATCAGAAGCAAAGAAAATCATTGACTCTTATTTACTGTATAACAGTACCTGGGGAAAAAACCTCTATAGTTATTAACTATGCACAATTAATAAATATTAACCTTGACTATTAACCTGTAAAATCTGCGCTAAAATATTAGCCTTTAATTTCTACATCGTTACAGCTTTGTGTGTAGCTAAATGCAAAGTGATATTACTGTCTACATCTCTTTCTAGGAGTGACTGAATATACTGTAGATTAGCATGCTACGGTCACATTCAAATAACATTTAACCAGATCGATTTCAGTACTTAGTTCTCTCTCTCCAGGGACCATGTTATTTTATATAAAGTTATTTTATTCAAATTATAATACATTTCCTAGGAAATATTTTATAACATAGCCTGAGAGAACTTGGATTCAGTTTCAGTTGTAGTTTGGTTTCTTTGCAATTGCATTTTTGAATACAGTAATTCCGTACTCTGAATAAGTAGGAAGAATGTTTTTTTTTAACTTTTATTTAATTACATGAATGTAGCAGAGGTTTGGAGTCATCTGGCAAATGAGGTGTTTTTAAACATGCTGAGTTTTATCACGATGAGATCGGTGTGTGGGGGTGAGAGTTGAATGAATGTTGCTAATACTATATTGGTGCAGTTTGTCCATCTCTGTGTCCTTATTTGCACAAGACATTTATAGCACGATCGCCCTGCATGACATGTTATTGCAGCAAATAGCCTCCATTAGAGCAACTCCAAGCCATTTCCTTCTTTTTTTTTCTACATGGAACAGTATTGGAAACCCCTTTTAGGCATTTGCTGCATTTGCTGCTCTATGGTTACGATAAATGAGGAGTTGAATTAGTGACTTCTCCAGAATAAAAAGACTGCTCTAGGCTAAGCTTTGAAGAGATATTTCAAGCAACTCAAACGTGACTCTTCCTAAACCCTTACTGACTTTGGAAAGCTCTCTCGAACGTAGAGTGCTTTAGTGTAATGGGAGGAAGAAATACAAAAGAGACCAAATACAAGGGCCTGGTTTCCCACTGTCTGGTACCTTGGGTAATCATTTGCACCTGTCCCCCATGGACATAAATACCACTGGTGGGACTGGACAGGTCAGAGCTGATGTTCCATACACCCACTTTGCACCAGAGTAAATAGCTACACAAGGGAGCCAGCCGGTGGAGAATTGTGTCTCTTTTTGGGACATTGAGACCTTAAACAGCTAGGGCAAATGTTTCAGCTGCTAGCAACCCCCCTCGCCCCCAGCAGCTAACATTTACTTCAAGCTCCGGAGAAACTTTACAAATGCTGCGTTGTCTCATTTCAGAGGGGCACATGCAACAGACTCAGGGTTAGCAGCCAGGTGTGTCCTTTATCAGAGGTGAAGGAAGCAGTGTCTGAATCTGCAAACCAGGGGCTGCCACATTTTACCTCCTACCAGCATGCTTGTAGGGCTCCTTGGGTTCCTTCTAGCAGCAAAACCCCTTGGGGGTGAAGAGATCCTGTGGCTGCGGCATGGCTCCTCCCTCTCCCTTGCCCCAACCCCAGAAGCAGCCGGGCCGCTAGGCTGGGGGTCTGTGACACTCCCACCCAGAACATCAGAGCACGTGTCCCTTTGCAGACCCTCCAGCAATCCTTTCCCCTTCTATCTCCAGGGAAGCTGTGAGGCCATTGGCTTCCCCCCAGGGCTATGAAACGTGAGTCCCACCAGTTACTGCTGCAGTGGGGGAGTTAGTCATGCTCCCACCAGCGTTAGCCTCCACTGCGGCATTTTGCTGCTTGTGTAAAGGGAACAGTCTGCATCTGTTGGCTGCGCCCTTGGTCCAGTACCTGCTTGCTCTGAGGGCCTCGCTCTGACCCATGGTAAAAGACCTGTAAGTGATGAGGGAAGCAGCAGGGCTCCTCTCTGCATGCTCCCTCCTTGCTCTCTTCCATGCATGCTCCCCACTCCGGTCCTGGCTTCTTTTCCCCCGATCTGACAGCAGAGCAGAGCACAGAGCCCGTAGAAACTGGCAATGAAAGAGACCTGGCCCTGTTCATTTCCCCAGGGGCAGGCCCAGAGCCAAGCCCAGTGCTTTTCCCAGAGGCGAGGCACCCACCATTCCCCGAAGAGACGACTTCATGTTCTAACAGATCGCGCCGTTCAGAAATGTCTAGCCATATTCCTAGTCGGTCTGTGTTGGCAGCACTACTTTCCAAGTATCACCCTTCGCTTGTTGCTCCCTAGACACATGACTTTCCGTTTGGTTACAGTAGGCTGGCGTTCTCTGTCCCGGTTTCTAATCTCTCTCAGCCCCTCTGTACCAGTTTTGTGCCCTCCCTGAAGTTCACAATACCTCCCAGTTTGGGATCTGCTGAGACCGTAATGAATGTGCCACCTATTCTATCGTCCGTGCCATCCCTAATTTTGTTAGGCTCCTTAATAGTGATCAGTGTCGCTGCACGGTTAAAATCTTCCATAGGGAAGATTGCTAAGCCAGTGAACACGGCCCTTCTGTTACAATCCATTCTGAGAGCCCAGTTACGGCCCTGAGACCCAGTGGAGGAGCATTCTCAGCACCAGCATGTCTTTGCATTTTCCCCAGCCGAGCCCTGCCAGTGCTAGCTGAGTAGAAGGGCTCAGCCTGGCCCTACACTCTGGACCCTGCAGTACTACCCACAGTGTTTGTAACCTCCTTGAACTCCGGGGCTGCTTCCTATGCGGTGGCACGGGAACTCCTGTGCCTTCTCGCCCCGATGCCTATGCGTGGGACAGACGTCATTTGGCTTCTTGCACTGCGTGGGATATTGCAAAGCTATTAGCAGTGCAGCAACATCCTTTCTTTCCCCTTTCCCTGCGTGTCTGAATGAGCTATCCAGCACGTGGTCCCTTATATAATGTCATTCAGGACATTCTTCCGATCGCTGGGAATAGTTTGAACAAAGCAGGACGAGTGGACTCCAGCAGCATTTTGAGACTGTCCGAGAGCAGGGCAGCAATGGCGAGAAAACGGCTTTGTTGCTTTCTGCTCCGCACAAAGGCTGAACATTTGCAGAGCTTGCTTCTTTGCAAGTATAATTTGCTACAGGGCAAGATTTGTCTAAAACCCAGCAAACCTAATTGCCAGGCAGAGCCAGCAAAGGGCACAAATTTGACTGCATCCTCCTGTCCTTTATCGTGAGTCAAGGCAGGAATGTACTGAATTTAACAGAGCTGATTGCCCTGCATTTGCGAGTCGATGCAAGCGCATGTGGACAGGGGGATCCAGCGTATTTGGATTTGCAGAAAACCTTTGCCAAGGTCCCTCACCAAAGGCTCTTAAGCAAAGTAGGCACTCCTGGGATAAGAGGGAAGGTCCCCTCATGGACTGGTAACTGGTTAAAAGACAGGAAACAAAGAGTAGGAATAAATGGCCAGTTTTCAGAATGGAGAGAGGTAAATAGTGGTGTCCCCCAGGGGGCCTGTACTGGGACCAGTCCTATTCAACATATTCATAAATGATCTGGAAAAAGGAGTAAACAGTGAGGTGACAAAGTTTGCAGATGGTACAAAACTACTTAAGATAGTTAGGTCCTAAGGAGACTGCGAAGAGCTACAAAGGGACCACACAAAACTAGGTGCCCGGGCAACAAAATGGCAGATGAAATTCAGTGTTGATAAATGCAAAATAATGGACATTGGAAAAAACAATCCCAGTTATACATACAAAATGATGGGATCTAAATAAGCTGATACCACTAAAGAAAGAGAACTTGGAGTCATCGTGGAGAGTTCTCTGAAAACATCCACTCAATGTGCAGCAGCAGCCAAAAAAGCAAACAGAATGTTAGGAACCATTAGGAAAGGGACAGATAATATCATAAAGCCACTATACAAACCCATGATACGCCCACACCTTGAATACTGCACGCAGTTCTTGTCACCTCATCTCAAAAAGATACATTAGAAATAGAAAAGGTACAGAGAAGGGCAACAAAATGATTAGGGGTATGGAACAGCTTCCGTTTGAGGAGAGATTAAAAAGACTGGAACTGTTCATCTTGGAAAAGAGACGACTAAAGGGAGATATGATAGAGGTCTATAAAATCATGGCCAGCCTGGAAAAAGTGAATAGGGAAGTGTTATTTACCCTTTCACATAACACAAGAACCAGAGGTCACCCAGTGAAATTAATAGGCAGCAGGTTTAAAACAAACATAAGGAGGTACTTCTTCACACAACGCACAGTCAACTTGTGGAACTCATTGCCAAGGGATGTTGTCAAGACCAAAAGTATAACAGGGTTAAAAAAAGAATTAGATAAGTTCATGGAGGATAGGCCCATCAGTGGCTATTATCCAAGCTGGGCAGGGATGCAACCCCATGCTCTGGGTGTCCCTAAGCCTCTGACTGCCAGAACCTGGGAGTGGACGACAGGGGATGGATCACTCAGTAATTGCCCTGTTCTGTTCACTCCTTCTAAAGTATCTGGCATCAGCCACTGTCAGAAGACAGGATACTGGGCTAGATGGACCATTGGTCTGACCCAAAATGGCCATTCTTAAGGTCTTCTGATGTTCTTAAGTAAGATTCTGCAGAAACAACAGAGCTGGTAGTCTCATTCCAGTAGCATTGGGCAAGGGTCTGAATCACCAAAACTGTCATTGGTACTAAGGGCTCATTCCCAGCCCCGAGTGGACACACTCCCAGTGACTTGAATGGATGTTGAATCGCATCCTACGACCTAGCCCGGACTGTGGGAGAAACCACTGCATTTTAACATGGCTGTTGCTAGCACAGTTCTAGCGTGGTGGAGGAGTCCTTCTGAGAACTGAAACAGCTAAGCCCCTGAAGATCAGGACTCTCTTTCAGCAAGCGCATAGGTATGTCTGGCTTGGGATATGCCAAATTGTTTGATCAGCCTCTGCGTAAGCACATTGCAGCAGAGTGCAGGCTGCTTACAATACTGCTGTGCTTTGTTGTGATGGTGGTGGACCCGGTCAAATGGGGAACCTTTTTATGTCTACATGCAGGGAGCTGGATGCCGGCAGGCTCCATGCCTGGCTGAGTGGGGTGGTCTTTATTCTGGAGTGAGCTTCTTTCTGAAGATGGCAACTCCAGTCCTCTTCTGGAGGTATTCTCCATTCTCCAGAAATAACTGGGCCTCCTTTTGGGTGATTCTTCCATCCCAACCAGCTCCAGGCATGGCTGAACCCAAGGAAAGAAAACATAGCTGCCACTTACTCTCGCCACTGAAGAGTATTCCTACCTGGGGCTACATTGGCCCCCGGAACAGGCTTACGCTGGTTCCTTCGCACAAGCAGCCCTTCCTGCCACCAGGTAGACAGAGACAGCTGCAGCCTGGCACCCAGGTCTCCTGCCTTCTCCACTAGACACCCTCCCTCTTGTGACACTGCAGAAGTGCTGGCTGCAGGGAGGTTCTGGGCAGTGGCTGTTTGCCGGGTTTCCCACAGCCTGGGAGAGTGTCTAGGATTAATTCTGGCTATTTATTAGCCACTTATTTACAGCTTCACTTGAACACTGTCAATGCTTTGGAAATATTGGGATTTTGTCCCCAGCCAGTGTCTACTGGCATAGTTCCACCAGTGGCAAGGAGCCGCTGTACGTCCCGCCAGCTGGGGCCGCAGCCCATTGTCTCTGCCTCAGGGTGTCTGAGCCCAGCTAGCAGTCGGGCCGCACTCACTTCTTTGTGTTCAGTTTAGGGCCTGGTTACTGGTAAGGCTCATCATAATGTGCACTAAAAAGCACGTTCCCAGGAGAGGGCAGAGGCTGTTGAAGAGGAAGGCGTGACGGGAGGGTGGGAGAAGAGAAAGGACAAAGGGTGAACAAGCTCCTAGAGCAGAGGCAGGAGATACAGGACAGAGATCGGGCGACAAGAGTTCCTCTCTCCTCCAAGAAAGCCACGACGCGCACTCTTCTGGTGTAAGTGATGCCATGTGTGGCGTGATCCGAAGCCTGAAAGTGAGTAACACGCCTGTGAGAAAACAGCGAGCGCTTCTCTCTTCCGGCTGCCCATCACAGGGAAGAATGCTTGACAATTTTAGCATGGAAATAAACAATTATAATTGTTTTAATTATCCTTGTGATCTAGTAATTTTGAGGCAAATGAGGCATGCTGGAGCAAGAACGCTATTATTATGCTGTCACTTTGCAGCAGGCTTAGCACGCGGGGCTAGCAATTTCCACCCCCCGTGAGCGACAAAGCGTTGCTATTAGCGTGCAGCATGGACATATTGCTCTGAACAAGTTGCAGTTTTCAAGTCACCTCCCCTTCCCTCTGGGAAGGAACTCTGCAATCCATTTGCCTGCCAGTGCTATTTCCTGCCTAAGTGTTTTATCTCAGGATAGTCACTTGAAAGTTAAGGCGAATTATTGTCCTGCTTTCAACTTGCTTTCGTACCAAACCCTCTTCATTTCTGAATGTTTCGTATTTTGTAAGAGACAAGGAGAGTGAGGTAATATCTTTTACTGGACCAACTCCTGCTGGTGAAAGAGACAAGGTTGTGAACTACACGGAGCTCTTCTCTAGATCCTGAATTGTGGTCTGCTAGTGCCTCGGCATGGGCACTAGGACACCTGGGTTCTATTCCCAGCTGTGCCAATCGATCACTGGGAAAACTCAGGTAACCCACTGAAGCTTGCTGGGTTTAAGTTTACCAGATACAAATGATAGTGGGCTTCGAACATCAAAGAGTTATGCAGATTAATGAAAATGTCTGAAGTGCACTGATATCCTTGGGTGCATGGCACTATATACCTGCAATGCATTAGTAAAACTATTGACAGTACTGCAATAGACACCTGTATTCCCAACATTGCAGCCCCTGCACACTGCGCTCCCCCACAGCTTTGGACTTCAGCCCCTTTTGTTACAGAGAGACTATTGAGGCATCCCCTTATCTTTTCCCAAAGTGCTAAAGAGTCTTTAATGTGCAACTGGCCAGAAAGGATGTCAGTGTCATAATGCTTGCCCTGATTGACAACTGGCTGACCGGGGTGGCGAGAGCCCTTCTCTTCTTCAGCAGCCTGTGACAAATGTAGCCAGTCCAGAGCCAGGTGGACTCCTTGGCCAGGGACAGGGCTCCAGGAAAAGTTGATGGGATGATTTGGATGCCTGAATTCCATTGATTTCAATAGCCAAATCCTGTAGGCAGTTTGCAAATCTCAGGTCAGACGGACGGTCCCTTGCATAGCTCTGGTTCTAGAGGACCAAGAACCACTGGGTGCTCATCTTTTGGCCAGCCCAATTTTCAGCTTCCTTTTTTCACCACAGGCAGCATTTTTTCTTCTTCTTTCCCATCCTTCCCAAGACATTAAAGGAATGTCACCAGCTTTTCAGCAGGGCGCCCTATTAATTTACCAGCTCTCCGGCAGCAGATCTGTGTGTGTGCACCAACAAGTTACACAGGTTTGATGTTCGCTTCCAGCTCGCTGGTGAATTAAATGCTTTTGCCATGGCAACCCTGATTTCACATGATATTTCCATATGGTGATTCTGAGCATAGCGCATTTGTCTTCAGGAAACATCACTGCATTGTCTGAACCGCTCTATCTCCCACAATAGCTTTTGTTAAAAGGCAGAAAAATAAACTAAGATTTTGTCCAGGTTTTTTTTCATGCATCCGATTCCTGGGAGTTGTGAAAAACTTTTCTTATTTTATTCTCCACAAAGAGTTTTAATTCAAAGGACTAAGAGAATGACATATGCTGCGCTTAGTAGTTCACTTCCAGCTCAAATGCAGCGGCAACTCACCTTTCTTGACTAAGGTTTGTCTCCGGATCATGCTGCCGGCTTAGGTGAAAAAGAAACATTTTCAAGTTAACAAAAATAGCCCAATGACAGTTTTTAAAACTCTCTGAAATATTTCTTCTGTTCAATATGTGGCGTGTGTCAGCTACGTGATGCGCTGAGGTAGAATTAAGGTTTTACGGCACTCTTTTGGGCTGGCCAGCATACCCTGTGTCGTGCACTGCATCAGTGTGTGGTGGGATATAATCATTAGAAAAGCTTTATACACTGTAAGATTATGTTTTCTAAGACTACGTTTTCAAAAGTGACTCGTGAACCTTTTTCAGTGCCCAACTGGAGACATCTTAAAGGGGCCTGACTTTCAAAGAGTGGGTGTTCAGTGTGAAAATCAGACTTTGTGTAGGTTCTGCAGACCTAAAAAATACCACGAACCAAAAGCACCCAGAGTCACTAGTTACTTTTGAAGTTGAGGCCTCTGTACACATGTGTGTGTGTGTGCGCGCGCGTGTGTGTGCGCGCGTGTGCGCGTGCGTGTGTGCGCACGTGTGCGCGTGCGGGTGTGCACGTGTGTGCGTGTGTGCGCGCACGTGTGTGTGCATGTGCGTGTGCATGTGTGTGCGTGTGCATGTGCGCGTGTGTGTACGCGCGCACTCTAGAGGTAACTCTATATACCAGTGAAACTCTCCTAACTTCAGTGGCATTAGCCCTGAGTCTCCCCAGCACGAGATCCGATTCAGGCCCATGGCAGTTTAGTAAGACTCTGACTCCGGTTCTCTGCTGTGCACATTACATACTGACTGCACCTGACCGGGGGAAGGAGCCAGCAGAGGCGTGCGGGGCAGTGTAAGGCCTGCAGAAGAATATAATAATTATGAGACATCTGTATCTAGGATGTGTATGTTTGTTTTATTGTATTTGTTATTTTTATTGAATTATTATTTGTCTCATCCCCAAATTGTACTGGCTACTTTGCAGGCAAGATGTCTTAGCCCAGGGGCCCATAAATAGCTTCAAAGATTCATGACTGGAGTTTCTTATTGACATCGGTGACATCAGTTAATCTCTTGCTCCGGACATTGCCCATTGCGCTGCTTCTAACGAGCTTTTTGTTTGCTAGCAAAAGTCCTCTGGCAAAGGGTTGTTCAACCTGAGTTGCAGCCACCTACGCCTGGCAGAGAAGGAATACTTCGGACTGGAATTCCAAAGCCAGGCCGGAAACAATGTAAGTGACGTTCTTCAAGAAGGCCAAGTTCCCTCTGAATGAAACACAGCACTTGGCAAAGGCAGCATTCAGCAGTCCTGAGCTTCCATTAGGAGATAGCTTTTACCTTTCAAAAATAGGTTCCGACAAACATGAAGGTTGCAAAGTAAAGGGGCTGGTCTACACTGGGGGAGGGGGGGGAATCGATTTAAGATACGCAACTTCAGCTACGGGAATAGCGTAGCTGAAGTCGACGTATCTTAGATCGACTTACCTCCCGTCCTCACGGCGCGGGATCGATGGCCGCGGCTCCTGCATCGACTCCGCTACCGCCTCTCACCCTGGTGGAGTTCCGGAGTCGACGGGAAGCGCGTTCGGGGATCGATTTATCGCGTCTAGACGAGACACGATAAATCGATCCCCGATAGATCGATTGCTACCCACCGATCCGGCGGGTAGTGAAGACATACTCAAGCACTGAAAGGTGGGAAATGCCAGAAGCAAGGCTGCCGTGCAGTGGGAATGCTGCCACCTTGTGCATAGGCAGCATGATACAGTCTTTAGTGACACGATAACACACATCACATTGCTGGTCCCGCTTCCTTTCCTGACGTCTGCCCCTGACCCCAGCACCTTCCCATCCGCCCACCCGCTCTGCGCCCTTCTGTCCCCACAACCTCCTCTCCTCCCTCTGCTCCTGTCCTGCCCCTCTTCTACCCGCCCTGCCTATCACAGCATAGGGTTGCCAGGTGTCTGGTTTTCGACTGGAACACTAGGGTCGAAAAGGGACCCTGGCAGCTCCGGTCAGCACTGCCGACCGGGACGTTAAAAGTCTGATTGGTGGTGCTGCCCGGCTAAGCAGGCTAGTCCCTACCTGTCCTGGCTCCGCGCTGTGCCCCAAAAGCAGCCAGCAGGTCCGGCGCCTAAGCAGGGGGGCCACAGGGCTCTACGTGCTCTCCCCGCCCCAAGCACCGGCTCCGCATTCCCATTGGCTGGGAACTGCAGCCAATGGGAGCTGGGGAGGGCGGTGCCTGTGGGTGAGAGCAGTGCAAGGAGCCTCCTAGCCCCCCCGCCTAGGAGCCAGACCTGCTGGCCGCTTCTGGGGCATAGTGTGGAGCCAGGACAGGCAGGGAGCCTGCCTTAGCCCCCCTGCTGCGCCGCTGAGTGGGAGCCACCCGAGGTAAGCCTGCGCCCCAACCCCTTTGCTGGGGACAAAGGCTGTGCCATGACCCTTGCAGGCATAGGGGCTTCCCAGGGGGCTTTCTGGCCCACTCATTTGTCAGCGGAGCTGTTCAGAGCCTACGCGTGCTTTTTAAAAGGAATTTTAGTCTCAATCGGGATTTCCCCCCCCATTTCTTCTTGTTGCACAACGAGATCAATGAGGTTCCTGCAGAACAGGCACCCCCCTGGGCACTACACAAAAGCGGAAGTAAAGGTGAAACTGTCCAAATTCTTGAGTGTCCTGGTCCTAATTCTTCCCCTAATGGTCTCAAGTTGCAGTGGGAGAGGTTTAGGTTGGATATTAGGAAACACTACTTCACTAGGAGGGTGGTGAAGCACTGGAATGGGTTACCTAGGGAGGTGGTGGAATCTTCATCCTTAGAGGTTTTTAAGGCCCGGCTTGACAAAGCCCTGGCTGGGATGATTTAGTTGGGAATTGGTCCTGCTTTGAGCAGGGGGTTGGACTAGATGACCTCCTGAGTTCCCTTCCAACTCTGATATTCTATGACTTCAAGTGCCATTGACTTCAGTGTGCTCGAGTGACTTCCTCACGTCCTGCAGTGGGAGAACACGGCCCATCTGGGTTTATTATTCTTCCTTCCACTATTACTGGCAGGTCACTCTTTAGTTTTTTCTTAGCATCAGCAGGCCTGTATCTTTTCTACTTTCTCTCCTGACACGTTGCGCTGTTTTTATTTATACGAACCCAGCACTTCATGCTGTGTCTTCACCAACTTCTTCCTTGCTGTTATTGCAGGTTTGGCTGGAGCTTCTAAAACCCATAACAAAACAGATGAAAAGTAAGTGTCTAAGGAATAACCACGTGCTAGCCGCTGCAGACAAATCTCAGCTAGTACCGGAAGTCTCACCGGCACATTCATGAGCTGGCTGACGCTTGGGGACGTGGGCTTTCCGGTTCTGGCATTTGCTTGGGTTCACCTTGTGCTGGGGGGTTGGGGGGGTCTGTTTGCCAAGTCTTCACGCTCCAGTTTACATCCTGTGAAAGTGTAGCGGCCGTAGGAGCTGGGCTCGACTTGTGATGCTCTGGATCTCTGTCGGTCAGCACAGCAATGGTAATGCTGTCCTGTCTGTAACAAAACTCGGGCTGCGAGATCCTGGCAGCTCACGTGCCTGATCAGTGTTCGGCCAAAAGCTACTTTTCTGTCTGGAGTGTAGCTATGTGCACATAGAGCAGCGATACTCAGACCTCAGTGATTCTGGAGCCAAATTAGCGAGCGACATTACCCCAAGGAGCCCCAGTGATGTGAATTCATTGTAGTACTAGTCATATACAAACAGCATGATGGGGAAATATTGAGTGTACATATATATTATTCTCACAGCAAACAGATTAATACGTTTGTGCACGTTGATAACTTAATTGGTTAAGATGTAATAAAAGCCTCCTGATTGGTTAATAACAGGTTGGTTAATAGTGAAATCACCCAGTGTTTTAATATCATGTGCTGCAAAGAGCCACAGGAGACGCAGTAAAGACCCACTTGGGGCTCGCGAGCCGCAGGCTGAGTATCACTGGCTCACAGTATAGCTATAAACTGGCCTCTGCAACCCTTACACAAGCAAAGGGGCTACCACTGGTGAAATTCACTCCTATGCATAGGCTAGCACCGGGTGTATGTCAGTACTTAATCTGTGCCAGGGCTGAGCCTCGGCACCTCCAGCCTGGCAGTTCAGAGCCCCGGCACCTCCGGGCATGGCGGTTCGTATCCCCAGCACCTCTGGGCCTGGCGGTTCGTATCCCCTGCACCTCGGGGCCTGGCAGTTCAGAGCCCCGGCACCTGTGGTCTTGCTGCATCAGTTATGAATGTAAAAAAATGGCTTGAGCCCCGGCACCTCTTTCATTACAATTAAGCACTAGTCTATGCAGAGTGTAGGGGGCAGCTAGGCCTGGTGCTGGAGAGATGCATTCCATCCTAGAACATCCCATCCCAACCGGGATTACCCCGAGGTGACCTGCAGACTGCCAGACACAGAACCAATCATCTAAACCATTTCCCCATCAGCTTAGATTATGATTTTCAAAAACGAATTTGCAAGCGAGCTCAAGCTCAGGTATCGGCTGCACTGAGCCGTGTGTGAAATCGTGGTTCCTGGTTGCAGGAGGTGATGCTGCAAAACAAAGCATTGGGGCTTGATTGCAACATTGTACTCCATGCATTTCAGCATGAGGGAAAGGCCTGGCACAAGCACCTGCTTCGTGGCTGTGACGTGTCAGCTCTGGGCTGGCCTGGGTGTTTTGCCACAGCTCAGAAGCAGGCGTGCCGCATGCTTTCAACCTGCTGCCTGCAGGTTAGAAATGCAGCAGCCCCTTTGCAGGTTTTGCATACGCACATTCTGTTGCGTGCTGTCCTGCATGCCAGTCAGAATGGATTGAAACACAACTGTCCTTATGGTGGTGGTGCCCCCGCCCTCTGCCCTCCCGCCATGACCCCTCCCCACCAGCTCTGCCATTTCAGAGGCTGCTGCCAAATTGTTGTGCCTGTGAATTTCTCAGCTTTTTCCTGCTTCAAGGTGATTCCTATCTTCTATTCAAATGTCACCCCCCGGGCTCTGAGAGGAACAGGTGATTCTGTCCTTAATGCAGTTTCAGGGAAGCCAATACGTTTGTATGTAGCTCCTGGAGTGCCTCGAAGTACTGTCCTTTGGGGAGTCCCCTCGACCCACACAGTGCAAGGCAGGGCTAAGCGGTGCACTGGGTCATTTCAAGGGGCAATTCTGTGGACCCAGCCATCGGGTTCCTGGCTCCTGGCACACACTACCGCTGAGGCTGGTCTAAGTTATGTGGCTTGGGGGGTGAATAAATTACCCCCCTGAGCAATGTGAGTGGTGGTGTGGACAGTGCTCTGTCCCCGGGAGAGCGTCTCCGGCTGCCACAGCTACCGCCGCTCGCGGGCACTGGCGTAATGAAGTCGACGGGAGAACTCTCTCCTCTCCGATCGGCTGAGGGCATCTGTAAGCTCTGTGGTATGGCCACCGCCTCAGTCTCAACAGCTTTGTGTCCATTATTCCACAGAAAGGCAGATGGGGCCCCGGAATCACCTCCACTCAAGTGTGGCCATTTACCGGTGCCCCTTTGTAGGCCCCGGCGTTCCGTTTGGCTTCCCCTTCTAGCCCATGTGTGGCTGAGACACAAAGGGCTTTAAAACGCTGTCGAGGACCAAAGTCTGCCCTTCGTTAAACCCCCCCCCCCAGATGCCTGCAGGATTTGTCTGGGTGGAGCTGTGGGCAGACTTGGGTGCTGGGAATATGGATTTTCCCAATTACATGCTTGCCAACAGCCCCTCCCTGCCCAAAACAACCCTGCAATTACATTTATCTGAGCTGATCCTGCAGCTCCGATAGCAGAGTCTGCTTCTCAGTGCACAAACTAGCCATGGGAGGGCTTGTTTCTTCCTTACCTCCTCTGGGCCCTGTAGCACGGGCTGGTGACATTTTTGGTTTGTCTGGGGTTTCATTGCGCGCCAGTAGCGTCTGTGGAGGGGCTGTTGTCGCTGTGCGGTATTGTCCACCCCCAATGGGAAGCTCTGATTCAGAATAGATGGCTGGCTAGACCCCACTGGGATAGCCACATTAAGAAATGCTAAACACGATTGTTTTCACTTCAGACACTCCGGTCCTCTGGGCAAAGGAGCAGCCCGATGGGCCCAATCCTGTGAGGTGATGGGAACTGCACATGCTCTGCCGTGGCTCAATCCAGCCAGGTACTGAACACCCTGTCCCCGGCCCAGGGCAGCACTCAAGTACATGTTTAATCTGAATCATCGGGGTTGTCCTGTTTACTGGAGTGGGGCCATTCTCCCATTGACTTCAATAGTCCTGCTCATGTGGTACAACTTGAGGCTCTGCTTAAGTCCGTGGCTGGATTGAAGCCCCGGCTCAGCACCCTGCAGGATCACGTCCTAGATGCTCAGCACCCATCAGGGCCGAATTTGTAAGGAATGAAAGTGATTTACTCCCCAGTGTGCGTGGGTGCAGGGTGTGTGAAGAGATTTGTAAATGTTCTCAACAGACCTTTGAAATAAAACTTATGAAGATGTTGTGTTTTAAGATCCTAAGGAGGTTCTTTTCAAATTTATGGTGAAATTTTTCCCAGTGGACCCTGGACATCTGAGAGAAGAGTTGACAAGGTACGGTACTATTTTTTTTTCATTGTCTACATTTTTATTCGCTACTAGAGGCTTTGTAACGCAGTCTTCATTGTCTAAAACATTCCGTGTCTGCAGCCAAAAGAGGCCCTCTAGCAATAGTCATTTTGACTATCAGTGCAACTTTATATGTTGCAAATATTTCTTTCTCTGACTCTCTGTTTAGAAACACAAAAAAATCTGCCTAATCCATCATCTTTATTTGTCCATTAGCCATAGCCATACATTGCAGATTTTTATTTGCTAGGCATTGTTTGGGGTGCCCTGTGATCTGTAAATTTGCTGCAGAATCCTACCTTTTAGTGCAAAATTGTGCTCTAGAATATAAGCTTTTATTTAAAAAACAATTATGTTTTGGAGAAAACATTACAGACATAAACCAAGTGTAAAACCAATGCAGCAGTTTCATGCAGATTCTTTAGCCAACCTAAGACAATAGCTCTGAGAGGTGTGAACTGTCCCATAGTTCGAAGTGTTGCATTCACTCCGAAACCTGCAGATTGCCATTCAAATGTCAGTGTTATTTCTCTGATAAACACCCAAGCAACACACCTCATCTCACAATCCCAAACTGCTTCTCACACACTGGGTGTCGAAAGCTTCAGTTGTTCCTGACCCTGCTGCTAAAACTACCAGCGTCTACAATGCTTCTTTACAATGTGTAAAATGATCTGAGTTTAAAATCAAAATCACACCAGGATACTGGCTGATCGTCTGGGTCTACAATGGACCTTGATAAGTTTATGAATGGGGTTACATGTTAGGGTTTTCTGCGATAGCAGGGGACTGGACTCGAGGGTGGCCAGTTGTCCGGTTTTCAACCAGAAAGTCCAGTTGAAAAGGGGACATGATGGTGTCCGGTCAGATCTACTGACTGGACTCCCAAAGTCCAGTTACTGTGGGCGGGAGAGGTGCGAGATCATCACCTCTGCCAGCCCCTACTCAGGCAGAGCCGCCCCCTACCTGCATCGGACGGCTGCAGCTCCCAGCCCGGCTCCGATGGCGAGTCCCTCCCTACCCCTTTCCCATCATCCCCTTTAACTTCTTCTCTTCCCTCTGGAAAACTGTCAGCTCATGTCTTTACTTCTGGCACAGCCTACGAGACAAGTGACTCCCTGCGCAGGCCCTACCTGCATTGGTTTCGCAGCCATGCTAGCAACAGAGTTCTCTGATTTGAAGAAATCTCTGTCCCTGGTGGTAATGAAAGAATCGTTGGGGGTAAAACGAGATCCACTTCAACTGAGACTTGACCAGTTCCTTTAGGCTTTATTCTGGGCGTCTTAAGACAATGTCGTGATCACCTCGCCAGCACATATACATGCAAAACCCAAAATGGCCAGGGCAGCAAGTGATGAAGTTACCTTTCCTGGGAACAGGGTGACTTCTTCAAATCTCTGCTCTGTTCTTCCCATGTGTCCTCGCCAGTCGCTCGGGGTCAGTCATTTAGCTTTTCTCCTCCGGCAGACAAGAGGCAGGGGAAATGGGGACAGTTGGACTGGGGCCTCAAAAATGTCTGTAACTGACGTGGAATGGGCAGGGGAGGGGCCCCAGGGAACATGATGTACTGGGGTCCAAATTGTCTCTCGCCGGGCCCGCGTGTACTGCCTCCCATCTGAGTATCGCCAGGTGATTTATAAACATCTGCCCTGATCCCGGCCCTGCCAGAGGTGGCAGGTGAAGGATCTCAGCTCCTTGCAGGGCTGGGCCTTTCACCCGTGCAAAGCCAAACTGATTCCGGGAGGGTCCCCTGTCTAGCAAAGTCCCCATGCAGGACATGGGCTGGCTGCGTTCCTTAATAACTAGTCTGAGCTGGGAGCGGGAACCTTTGCTCTCGGTCAGGAAACGGTTCTCTCTTCCTTTGCAGGTATCTCTTTACCCTTCAAATCAAGAGGGACCTGGCAGTCGGGAGGCTCCCCTGCAGTGAGAACAGCACCGCGTTGCTGGTGTCGCACCTCTTGCAGTGTAAGGACAGACGAGCGTGCTCTAGATCCGCTCTTGTTCGCCCACAAGGGACGCCCGGGGTGACATTCTCTGGCCTGTGATATGCAGGAGGTCAGCCTAGGTGATCACAATTGGCCCTGAAAAACGGTGTATCGTTCTATTGTTCCAAACGTCCGATTCTAACTATTCACTTCCAGAGCATGGCTTAGCTTACATACCAACCCCTCTGCTCTGCTCTGGATGTCAGGGCAAAGCCGTGGCTGTCTGACAAACGCTGTCTGTTTGCCCGGTCCTTGCCCATAGCTGGGTGCAGCAGCAGAACCTGACTGCAATAGACTCACTATTCTATCCCATCATCTGGCTTTTGCAGCCAGAGTTTTGAGTGAAATCAGCCCAGGCGGCAGGGGAGCAGGCCTAGCGGCGGGCATGGGGGACTGCTCTCGGGAGAGAGGGTTGCAGGTCAGGGGCGAGCCAGCGGCCACTGACGTCCCTAGGAATCTTTCCCTGGCTGTGATGGGAGCGAGACCTAGCCCAAAGGTGCCAGTCCAGCAAAGCACTTGCGGAGGAGGGCTGAGTTGCTGAGCTGGAGTGAAATGAGTCGAGTTAGTGTGTGTTTGCACAGACGGTTCAGTGCTCAGTGTGCAGCCATTGCCCGGCTGTGTTCCCTGAGCTTTTCGATCGGACGCATCTGTACATCTCAGAACAGCCGGGCGGGCGTTACCACAGTGGAAATGGTCTTTGGCTAGCAACATGGCCCAGGCTGTTTAGTGTCCCCTGGGCGACCAGCTCTGAGTCTCCCACACCATGGTCCAGCCAGGGATGGCTTGTTCCCTTGGCCTTCAGCCCTCCCCAAGAGTCACCGCATGGAGCCTGCATGGCCTCCCAGCCACAGGGCCAAGGACCACCATGGTCCGAAATGGAAAGGTTGAGTGAAGGCATCTGGATCTCCAGGTAGAGCCTGACCTCTTGACCCTTAGTCATGTGAGCAATCCTTACTGACACAAGTGAGGTTGGAAGGATGAGGCCTTTAGTCTGGCTTAACGAGACCCCCATCCGCTGAGGGGCTGAGTGCCCCGATAAGGTGCTGGGTCCCTTCCATGCCATTCAAAGCCCTTGTGGCAGGAAGAGCCCTGTTGTCAGAACCGTGTCGCTGGTTCTTCGGGCCTGCTCCCGTCGAAGCTAACAGCAAAACTCTCACTGACGTCAGTGAGGCAGGACCAGGTCCTCAGTGAGGGAACATCAGAAACATCACATTTAGGAAGAGCTGGGAGTTGGTGTTCTCTGTCTGGGCTCTTTCCATCCCCCCGCACCGTGTCTATGTTCTTGCAGGGATCAGCGAAGTCGCTGGTCTCTGAATACTCGCTCAGTTTGCCTGTTGTCGTCTCCTCAATGGGCATTGCTAAATGCCGCTCTTCGTTTCTTTCCCTACAGCTGAGCTGGGGGACTTTCATGAAGAAACAGATAAGAAGCACCTGGAGAGCCACCAGTATTTACCCAACCAGGAATATTTAGATGATAAGATCATGCATTATCACCAGAAGCACGTGTGAGCATTTCATCCGCACTTGGGTCCTACTCAGCTCATAATGTATCTGCTCCTTTCACAGCACGGATATTAAATACCCGTAGCAGAGACTGGTTTATACAGTATGTGGGGGTGCTGTCAGAGGACTTTAGAGGGGGCTATTTATTCTAATGTCAGTAGACTTATAACCCTCTTCCTTCCCTAGTGGGAAGACGCCGGCTGAGTCGGACGTTCACCTGTTGGACATAGCCAGGAAGTTAGAAATGTATGGGATTAGACCCCACCCCGCAAGCGATGGGGAAGGGACGCAGATCAATCTGGCTGTCACGCACATGGGAGTGCTGGTTTTACGGGTAACAACATTTCCCTTTTAAATTCCTACCGTACGATGCAATGGGACCCTTCTGGAAGAGCTTTTCCTTCCATTCTCATCAAAGGCCTTTTAGCTGTACCAGAGCCTACCTGATATCCTCTTGCACCAAGCAATCACCCTGGGGACGGGACACACTCTGTAGACAGGCGCTGTAGTGAGTAAATAAGGGAAGTAAACATTTGTTGTTGTAGGCCCCTTCTGAAATCCAAGCACTTCACTATCTTCGTCACTACCCAGCCTGCTAAGAGCTGGGGGGAGATGGTTTTCCTGTCCTAGGACCAACACTTTTGAGAGTTGGAAATTGTTTCCTAGCCTGAAAAGTCAAAAAATCTCAAAAATAGTCACAAACAAACCAGAAATCTATTTTTTTCGTTTCCGGTCAATTGAAACGTTTTGTTTCAATTTTAGTCTTTTTTTTTTCTTTAACCCTTTTCAGCCAAATTAGCTTAAATTTCTAGACAAAAAGTTGTTTTGAACCAAACAACTGGAATTTTTCCTTTTGAAAATGTCCAAACAAAGCGTTTTGAAACGTTCCCCTCTACGTTTGTTCAAGCTGGGCAAACCACTGAACTCTAGCCAGTGGTGACAAATCACACCCTAGCCCTGGCTTCCACTGATGTGGGAGGTGTCCGCTTTGAGAATCTGTCTTGTTTGCCCTTGTAAACTAGCGTGTTTGAGAAGTAAGACGTTCACGTTCCAGGGCAGCGCCACACGTTTCCCATATAATCTTCAAGCAAAAATAGCCGTCTAATGGCTATGCAATTACCTAGTGCTATAATCATGACATCTGAGCAGCGTAACTACATACCTCTGTGTTTCCTGCATGAAGTGGGGCAGCCACGCCTAGGCAAATTCCAACCTGCAAAGCCACTTGTGGTGGAAGAAAATCATAATTCCTGGCCCATTGTTAATAACTAGCAGCCTGTGTAGCACATTCTGAGGCGAGTGATGCTCTGCCTGGCTGTTTGTTCAGCGAGGCACACACACACACACACACACACACACACACACACACACACACACACACACACACACACACACACATATATTATAACTGGAGCATAAACAGCTCCTTTAAAGCCCAGTAGTGTCTATGTCAGAACACAGTGCTTGGGGTTGGAAATGTGGCCCTAACCCCGTTGTGTTGAGGAGTTCTTTTTAAAGCTTGCTTGCCCGAGAGAATGCATGCTAGGGCAGTACCGGTACGTTCTAGTTAGGTTAATGCCTGACTCATGTACATAATGACTGCGCTTTGCCCAACAGACAGCGGACGGAGCACCCCCGCTCATTCAGGGCCTGATCCCGCCCCACTGAAATCCATCGGGGTCTAGGCCAGAGCCCATTGAAATTAATGGCAGTCTTTCCAGTGACACCACGGGGCTTTGTAATTAACTTGCATTAACACAGGATCAGGCCCTGTCGTCTTATCCTTCCTGCTTGGGTCCAAATCTGCTTGTCTGACACATCCCCTCGGAGCCAGGGTAAACCGATGTTGGTAAATTGGTGGGACTGTAAAGTGAGCAGGATTTGGGGCCAAATCCTTGGAGCACCGTCTACACTCACGGGAGTCAATAGACGCAGAGTGCATTTGGCCAGCTCACGGCCCTGGCCGGTAATGATTTGACCTTGACCAATGCGTTTGTCATTGCAGGGGAACACAAAGATCAACACATTCAACTGGGCCAAAATTCGGAAACTGAGTTTTAAGCGGAAACATTTTCTAATCAAACTACATGCAAATATCTCTGTAAGTACCACGTTGCCCCCCGCTGCCAGGGTTGAAGATCACAGGTTTGTATCAAGCGAGGAATAGTTACAAGGGCTTTGCCAACCTTGGCAGGGGCGGCGAAAGCTTCTTAACTGTGTGTGTGTGTGTGGGGGGGTGTCACTGGCACCTGAACCGTGGCCCCGCCCGCACGCTGCCCCTTCTCCCTTTTAAAAGTGGTGGGGCCATGGCCTCCCATCCCTCCCTGTTCCTGTGCCCCGCCCCAAAGGTCACGTACTTCAAATAACATGTGCTCCCTTGGGCTGTGTCAGTGTTGGCGTGTGGTCTCTCGCTTCACCTCGCTCTTATTTGTCCTGGAAGTTTCTCCTCACGCTGGTGAAATGTGTGTGACGCCCAAGGGGCACAGACTGGTTAGGCCTCCACAATGTGTGTATGGAGAACACCTTTGTGGTCCCCGAGTATTTCCAGCCGACCGCCTAGTTCTACATTCAGCTGCCCCAGGGACTGCTAGGGGTCAGCTAGCAGCGTGTGTAACACAAGTTAGTGGCCCGTATACATCAGACCAGGGCCCCTCTCCCTGTCCCCAATGAGACCCACACCCAGTTTCAGCTCTAAGTCCATTGAGAGGCCTGGGGTCGCAGGGTTCACAGGCCAGTCCTGCATCACTCTCTGCACAAAGGGGCATGTCTCCTTGTGTGAAAAAGTGCTCGTGTTTTCACTATTGGACACTGACTTTGCAACGGGGGTTGACCCTTTGGGTTGTGTTTCAAATGTCCGGTTCTCATCCAGGCTCTGTGCAAGGACACCTTAGAGTTTACCATGGCAAGCAGAGATGCGTGCAAAGCATTTTGGAAGACGTGCGTGGAGTACCATGCTTTTTTTAGACTCTCCGAAGAGCCAAAATCCAAGCCCAAAGCCCTCCTGTGCAGCAAAGGTTCGAGTTTCCGCTATAGGTAAATGGCTCGCACTAGCTCCGGTAACACCGGGAAGAAAGCGAATGGCTCTTTGCTAGCGTTCGCTGTGTGGTGCAACGTGGGGGAAGGAAACTTGGCGCTAGCTGGTGCTTTTAGGCACAGCCTGATGAGCAAGTAGCCCTGGGAGGGCGGCAGTGGGACAAAGGCTGTGTCTACCCAGGGATTAAAAACCCCCGTGGCTGGCCCGGGCCAGCTGGAGTGGCGCGTGGGGCTTGGGCGCCGGGGCGGAAGGATTGCTTTGTAGATACTCACTCTGAAGCGCAAGCTTCGGGCCCCTGTGAGGGTGAAGGATCCCAGAGCTCTGGCTCCAGCCTGAGCCTAACGTCTACACAGTGATTTGCCGCCCCGGGGCCAGTCAGTTGGACTGAGCCATGCCCCAGGGCTTTGATCCCCGAGAGTCTCCTCCGAGTCGCAGTTCTTGTCTGGCTTCCGCCGTGCCCGAGGGAGGCAGCCTAGGCCCATTCCCCTGTACCCGCACCCGCTGCATCTCGCCCAGCAGAGCAGGGCCAAGCCTGCCTGCCTGAACCTCGAGCGCCTTTGTCCAGGCCCCGTTGTGCAAGGCATCAGCCAGCCCTTGCCTCTGTGCTGGCTACAGCAGAGGTTACAGTCACATGCTGTACGGACAGCACCGTTAGAACTCGTTTTTCACAAGCGTTTTTCTGTCCTTGCCAGCGGCAGAACCCAACGGCAGCTGCTGGAGCACGGGCGCAAGGGGAAGGGGAAGAGCGCGCCGTTTGAGAGGTATCGGAGGGGGCCGAGGGGGCTTTGTAGCATTTCACGGGCTATTTGCAACGGGAAACTGACCTGTGTGTCTTGGATTTGCAGGAAACACTACCCGGCTCAGTACCACGAAAGGCAGTGCCGCTCGTCCCCAGACCTCCTCACAGACGTGTCCAAACAGGTACTGGTCTCTCCTCGGTGTCCCTGATGGAAAAAGCCACCGGCCCCCAGGCCTGGTTAATCATTCCACCGCAGCCTTTGCTGCCCTGGAGAGAAAGCAGTGGGGCGGGAGCCCATGCTGGGCCATTCCCTGGGTATTTTGGGGGCACGGCGCAGCAGCGACCAGGGGAGCGCGTGTCCAGTGCTCTGCGAGCTGGTCTGTGAATGGCGAAGGAACGAACCCCAGAGTGGGGCCAGCACTTGCGTACAACACCGTACAGTGTGTGTGGGGAGCGCTGGGTCCGTTATCTGCCCCTTGCACGGTGGATCGTGCTGCATTGTAATGGGGCGTGTGGGTGTGTAGGACACCACCACTCGGGAGACTTGGTTCCCTCTGTGCTGGGACCCACATTCCCTTCTGTTTCCCACCCGCCCACGGGATAACCGCATGTGTTCATCCTCCCACCCCACCCCAGCTAAGGGCTCCCCTAGTGGCCCAGAGGGGCTAGACCAGAGGTGGCTCCTGGCGGCAGGGGAAGGGAAGTGGTACCACCGAGGTAGCCTAGCAGGTGGGACTTGGCCTCACTGCCTCGTCACCCATCACGGCCACACCCTGCCAAGGTCTGACTGGAACCGCATGGCTCAGGTTGGGCTTTCACTGGGCCCTGCCCTGCCTGTGCTGAGAGCAGAATCTGGCCGCAAAGCGGGTGCGTGCGTGTGAAAGCCCCTCCCGTTGCTGACAAGTGCCCTCAGGGCGCCTCAAGTGGGGGGAGTGGGAAAAACCCACCTGGTCTTCGCTGTTTGTAACCTGGCCTGGCTCACCTCTGAATCTTCCCTGGAGAGCTGGGGGTGAGGCAGACACGGCTTTCGTCTGTTGGTTTGGGTGCTGGCGGGAAGGGGGCGCAGGGCTGTGTTCGACCCGACGGGCTACGGAGTAGCATTTATTAATCTGGTTGCTTGTGGGGCTGTAATGAATAGAAGAAGAGAGAGAGAGAGAACCCTCCTCCCCTTTCCAGTGCCTTTCCCCTACCCTAACAGGCCCTGCTGTCTCCCTAGGTTGAAGACCTGCGCCTGGCATATGGCAGCAGAGCCTGTTACCGGAACACAAACGGGGTCCATGCGTCGGATCCCATGCTGGACAGCAGGAGGCGGAATTCCTCCGTGGAGGTGACGTTCGCAGCGGAGCTGGAGCGCTCCAAGCCTGAAGCTGACCCCAGGCTCCTGCCCCATTCCAAAAGCAGCTCAGCCTTCCCGTTGGCCTACGCCGAGCTGGAGCTGGAGTGGGAGCCGGCCGACGGCTTCGGGCAGCGCCGCCCGCTGACTTCCTTCCAGCCCAGCCACAAGCTTGCTGGCAACAGTAAAAGCACCTCGGTTGGCAACATGAGGGAGGTCGCCTCCAGGCAGCTGAGCTACACAGATGTGCCCTACGTCCCTTCCGCCAGCCAGCCGCTGGAGACGTCGTCTCCGCAAGTGTTCTTTTACGTGGACAGGCCTCCCCCGGTACCACGCCACACGCCACACGCCGCCGAGGAAGCAGGGAGAGGGCTGAGTGGCCCTGGCCCCATGTCAAGGAAACCTTCCAAGAGGTGGCCGGGCCCGGCCCGGATGAAGGAGCTGCAGCCCGAGGCCTTGCCCAGGACTTACTGCGTTAGCAGGCACCTGCAAGAGGAGAGCAGAGCCCTGGCTGGGGCTTTTGACTACAGCATTCAAGAGCAACTGCCCAAAAGATCCTGGAGCCAGTCCGATATGAAAACCATCCATTTCCCATATGGGTCGGAGTTCAGGCCGCTGGGCCCTTGCCCTGCTCTGAGCAGTAGAAAAGCAAGTATCTTACGGTCCATGCTCGCCCAGCAAGGGCTTTCCAACCCCACCGCAGCTCCGCGTCCGGCCGAACGCGGCGTGGGCAGCGGGACCGAGTCCAGCGACTCCGACCCGGATCTCCTGAACGCCGATTACTACTCTCTGTATGGCCGGGTAGGAAAGTCGCCCCTGGCCCGGGTGCGTCTGTCCTCGGGCAGCCTCCAGCTGGAGGAGGAGGATGAAGAGGTGTCCTTTGCGACAAGCAGCGCAGAAGCAAGGACTTCAATGGGCATGTCCAATTATTTCACGTAACCGTCTCCAATCGGCTTGAGAGCCCAGAGATTTCCAAAGCCAGCTTGAAGGAACAGGAAAGTCATTTTTGTGTGGTGCTGCTCCCTCCTCCTTGCTAAGCATTGTGACGGGTTAGTGTTGTGTGAGTACAATCAGCTGTAGAGACTGTGTTAATGGACGACGGGAGCTCTAGGACATAAAGATCTAGGCAACAGGCAAGAAAAAAGAAGCCACCAGCGGCCACCCCAGCAAAATCTCCTACATAGAGGTTCTCAACGAAGAGGGGTCAGCTAGTCACATCCACTGGCCTGACCCCAAACTGCTAAATGTCACGTCCATGCTCCTCCGCGAGGGGAATAGATTAAATGAAAGCTGCTAAAATGTCTGTTTCTAATGGAGAGCGAGCGAGATGGGCACTGAGAGCCTGTTTGGGAAGAACGTTTGTTAGGGCAGCGCCATATGCCCCAGCTCCTGATCACAAAGGAACCCACTCTGTGACGCCAACCACTTGTATTTGGACCCTGCCACATAATTAATGATGGCGAGGAGCGCCTCTCTTCTAACCACGGATGGTGCATCAGAGAGCCTCACCCAAGCCCCTAGACAGGTTGGCTCGAGTACATCAGAGTTGCAGCCCAGTGTGTTGGCCACTGGCATTCAGATTTGTGTAGGGAGCGAATGCCACCTCTTCCCCAGCCACACCATCTTCAGCCAAAGACGCTGCCGAGAAACATACTTTGTACGTCTGTTTGTAAATCGGGTTTGGCGGCTGCCCCCGCCCGTTGTGAGGCGGGAGGTACTTCCCATTACCACTGACCGTGTCTTTGCCACTCACGTCCACCTCTCTCCTTCCTTCCGCTAAGAGACAGCATGTGGCCATACAAGCTACCCGGTGTGGGCCCAAACCTGGGAGGAGAGACACACGCTGAGCCCCCAGAGACACACGCTTCTCGACCCCTAAATTCAAGCGAGCAGCCGAGAGACCTGGGCGGAATCACTGATGGGGAACGCAAGAAAACTTCAGGCTGGCTGAGCTGCCCCCCCACCCCCCGCCCGTCAGTAGTGAACGGACCAGCCAACGCACAAACACGGCGCTCACTTGGAATAAGCTGTAACGGGTGGACAGGCTCCCACTGGCACTCCCAAGTAAGACACTGTGGTTACTAGAGAAGGCCAAAAAAAAAAGGAACATATTTTTGCCCAAAAATGTTGCCTTTTTTTTTTCCTGTTGAAAAATTTCAGATATTGATGTTTTCTGACCAGCTTTTGTATTCACCAACCACCGGGCCAGGAAAGTGGAAATACCTATTTTTAACCTGGTATTTTAGTTTTTAAAACATCTAATTTTCCCTCAAACCCAGCTAAACCTTTGTAAGAAAAGAAAAAAAGGTCCAAGAGACGCAACCAGAGTGCGACCCGGCTGCTGTGAGAGTCTGTAGTGTTCTCTGTCCAGCCCTGTAGGCCGCGACTGCAAGGGAAGGCTGGAGGGTGCCCCTGGAGGTGCTCTGGGGTCACACACTTGCCTGGCAAGGAGCAAGCAAACCAGGGTGTCGGGCGACGTGCTAGAGCGGCTTTGTTGGGCACAGTCCTGGTGGGGAAAGACGCAAAACTCAAGTGAATGGTCAAGACAACTGGGGTTAGCAGGACGCTGCCCGCCCTGTATTTTTCAAGCTCTCATCTTCGTTCTCTAGTTTTAGAAGCTGGACAATAAACCAAACGACCCCCCCCCAGATATACACACTGCTTTAGGCGTGGTGTCGTTTTCCTTTTTTAGGCACAGCAGAAGTGCCAGGGGCGCCTACACACCAGCCGATGTAGGAATCCCCAGGCGTTTAGCTTCCTCCTCGTTGCTCCACCAAGAGTCCCCCACCGGACGCACAGCAGGGGCGGGTTAAACCTGGAGATCACAGGACACCCATCACAATCTTGCACCTCCTCCACCGAGCAGCCCTGCCGGTTCCTGTCCCCTGCCAGCTGCCATGTGCCAACTCCCTCCCACACTGGCACTGGATCGGCTACCTCACTGCTTGAAGCAGCAAAACTCTTGGTTGGATTTCTAAAGGGACCCACCCCCCACACCCCAAGGGAACATGTTATAGAAAGTGGCATCTCCTTAGCCCCAAGGACCCTGAGGTTGACCACCACAGAGCGCCTCCTTCAGGGCCTGAGATGCTGTGAGTATTTTGACTCTCAGGCAGAGGCGGATTAAGATTTATTGGGGTCCTGGGTACAGAGAACATTTGGGGCCCCCCCACCCAAATCCTCCCTGCCATGGGGCCCTGCCCCCTGCTCCTCCCTGTCCCCCAAGGCCATGCCCCTGACTGGCCAGAAGCCGGGCTGCCCAGGGAGCCCGGCTGCTGTGAGGAGCCCTGGACCCTCCACCTGCCCTGGGGCGCTGCTCTCAGACCCCCTCTCCCAGGGCAGGTGGAAGGCTTGGGGCTCCCCACAGCTGCCCAGGCTCCCTGGGTGGCTCGTACTATAGCCTAGGGCACTGGTCTCCAAACTGTGGAGCGCACCACCATAGGAGGGCTCGGGGGGGGGGGGGGACAGGACGTGGTGGGGCCCAGGTCAGCCCCAACAAGGGAAGGGGCTGCTCCTGGTGGTGGGGGTGGTGACTGAAAAAGTTTGGGGACCCCCAGCCTAGCAATTGCATATGGCCAGTTTTGGCCCCGGACATCCCAATGTTTTGGGCAAAACTGGGCATTTGTTCCATTGCCATCTGCTCAGCAGAGGTGTGTGCGGTAGGGCCCCGTGCACCAGGCCTTGGGCACTGCTGTATGGGCCCACTGGCAGAAATGGAAGTGCCCTGGGGCCTGCTTTACCGGCAGCCCTGCAACTCGCTGCAGTGCGCCTGTGACTGACAGTCGCGCCCGCCGGAGTGCAGCAGGTAGGCACCGCCGTACGCCCCTTTGTGCAGCTAGCGCTCAGGGCCAGCTCCTCTGTGCATGAAAATAGGGGAGCGCGCGGGGGGTGGGATTAGTCCAAATTGCCACATGCACCCCCCCCAATAAACGTATTTGTGACACTGTGGGAACATTGCTGACACGTGTTTCGTTCGTCACAAAAATGTCTCTTTTTTGGTATTAAGCAAATTATCAAACAATGTAGTTGAAACAATTGTTCATTTAGCTTAAAAAAACAACAGCAACATTGCCCCCCCCCCCTCCCCCCAGCTTTCAGCGAACAGACACGGCCGCTGGCCATGCTGACGTTTTAGAGGGAAACAAACGCTGTGTGGGTGTGTGAGCGAGAGAGAAAACAAACCCTGGCGCCATTGGGCATGAAAGGAGCATTGCTATTAGCTGTGTATTGGCGCCTGCGTGGGGCCAGGGGGCTGAGGAGGCACTACATGCCCCAGGGCGGTGGGGGAGGAACAACCCATTGACATGACTAGTGCAGTTCACACCTTGGGTGAGTCCCCCTCCATGGGGCCCAGCTGCGGGCTGCCTCGCCTACCCGCCCCCACCCGCTCTGAGCTCCTTCCTCCCCCATCAAGGGGCTGTGGGTACCCCTCCCTCAGCTGCCCCCTGCAGGGTGCACCCCTGTTGTCCCGGCACTGGGCCCGGACGGGCAATTGGGGTCTGTCTCCACTGCAGTTAGACGCCTCTGGCTGGCCAGTTAGGGTTGCCAACTTGCTTATTGCAGAAAACTGCCCACCACTGTGCCACTCCCTGCCCTGAGGCCCTGCTCCCGCCATGCCCCCCCACCCTCGCTCACTTTCACTGGTCTGGGGCAGAGCGTTGGGGCACCGGCTGTGGGGGTGGAGCCAGGAATGAGGGGGGTTGGGGCACAGGAGGGGGCTGTGGGGTGGGGGGTTTGGAGTGATGGGGGGTATGGGAGAGGTTTCGGGGTACGGGCTCTGGGCGGTGCTCACCTCAGGCGGCTCCCGGGCAGTGGCAACACGTCGCTCCAGCTCCTAGCAGAGGGGTGGCCAGGGGGCTCTGCGCACGGGCCCCGCCCGCAGGCACCGCTGCTGCAGCACCCATTGGCTGTGGTTCCTGCCTAATGGGATCTGTGGAGCTGGGACTCGGGGTGGGGGCAGCGCAAGGAGCCCCCGTGGCCGCCCCGTTGCCTAGGAGCCGGCGGGACATGCTGGCTTCTTCCCAGGAGCTGCAGGGAGTCTGCCAGCCCCGCTATGCCACCAACTGGACTTTTAACAGGCCGGGCGGCGGTGGTGACAGGAGCCGCCAGGGTCCCTTTTCGACTGGGGGTTGCGGTTGAAAAACCAGCCACCTGGCAACCCCGTGGCCCGTGCCAGCTGACGCAGCCTTGCGGGGCTTAGGTTAAGGGGCTGGATAATTGAGCTGCAACCCAAATGCTGGGCCCCCTCCCACCCCCCCAGGGGCCTGAGCTCCAGCCCAAATGGCTGCATCACAATTAACCAGCCCCTTAGCCTGAGCCTGCACCAGCCGCGGGCGTCTAACGCACCTCCGATAGAGCCCTGGACTCCAAGGGCTTGGCCCTTGCTCCCTGCCAGCCCTCGGTTACTAGCTGCCCTCTCCTCATGGGTAGCCAGGGCCAGGCTAAGGGGGTGCTGACAGGCAGCAAAGCAGGCCCCTCTGTCACAACCCCTCACGGGCTCAACAAACCAGGGCAATTCACTAACAAAAAGCTTTGTGACAAGGGCTTTAAGGTTGCTGGGCCGTGCCTGTGTCTCACCCACAACAAAGGAGCTGGTAACAGGACACTGACACCTCGGACGTACATGCACGCAAACAGAACATGATGTTTCGCCACCCAGGAATGGCTTCTCCCCCCCCCCCCCCCCCCCCCCAACAATGCACTGCCCCCTTCACTCAATGCTTTAAGGAGTCCCCACACAGCAGCGTAACCGTTTTCCCCCACCCCCACAAAGGAGGCCCCAGGGAGATGGTATTACCTCACCCCTCACTGAGAACACCTGCTGGAGCTCGTGCTCCCTGGAGAACTGGTGCGGCACAGAGGTCATGGGGCATGTGAACAATAGGGCAGTTTTTGGTCGTCACTATTAGGCCCGGGATAGCTAAGAAGACAGTAAATAG